TGAGACAAGTATGATCTAAAGTAACCAGGCCAGACCAGGATCCAGGTCTTTGGATCCTACTGGAGAACAGCCTTCAAATGTTAGTGCTCCTAATTAGTTAAGCTAGATGCCATTATAAATAGAAGTGACTGAATCTTTTTGTGGCAGTTAGGCTGTACAATGAACTTATTCGTTTCCTTTTTAAGAGCATGCTGATATTTATAAGGTTATTTGTAATTGTTCGTTAGTGATAATGACTTGGTTACCAAAAAAAAAAAAAAAAAAAAGAACCAAGGAAAAGCTTGGAAAATCTTTATGGAAGAATTGAACTGTATGCTTATGAGAAATTAACATCAACCAGAATGCCGCCTTCAAGTCAGCAGCTAGGGAAGATTGTCAAGGTAGCAGGCACATTTACTTTTAAGCAGTGCAACAGTATTTTTTCTGGCTGGCATGAACTTCAAGCACTCCCAATTCTCCCCTCCCCATATTTTTTTTACTGTCAAATAACCTCTTTTCCCACTGGCTGTGGGACAGGGGACAGTGGGACATTACCTTGAAGAGGTAAGAGATTGTGTGCAAGGCTCAGCATTTGCTCAAACTCCTGTTCTCATCAGAATAGTGACCCATGATACATGGAGTAAATTCCTGTGCCAGAAAATCCCCTGATCTTTAACATGTGAGGAGCTGCAGTAGCCTAACAGCTGGTGCCTCATTGCCTGTGTTCCAGTGTTGCCCACGTGCTTGACAGTGAATTAGCTGCTAATAATGGATAGCCAGGCTCTTCTGGAGTGAAACATTTACAAGAAGCGACATGCTGCCAAGTTTAAAGCCTGGGAACACAAGGCAATTTCAAACCTGTCATTTCCTCTCAGAAAGGGGATTATTGCTTTGTTATCAGCAAAGATACTGTGTTATGTAGCTTTCCTGCCCTTGAATTATCTAGGTCATATGGAATGGCTGTGGGTTATGTTGCAAAATACATCTTCTGGGTCTGTGTGTTTATATAAGGTGTATATAACTACATAAAGCTCTAACCTGGAATTTGCTGCTCACGTGCATACATGGTGGAGTTGCACAGAGCACAGATACGTAAGCATTAGTACTTACAAACTTGCCAATTGCCTCAGACAGCCACTGGATCAAAGATTTATTGCTAGCTCAGCTCCCACAGCATTCACGATGCTTCCTGTCAGGGGTCTAAGAAATTGGTGCAATACCTGAGGCACTGATTGAAGGTAAAGTTGGCAAAAAGAGGACAAAACAAAACAAAACTTGTTTTTTTTTTTTCTTCGAGCCACAAGTCTTTGGCTTCAGTAGCTGAAATCCACTGCTTTATCCAGACTTCAGGGAAAGGTGCTCTGTGAGCCACCTCTTGATCACAACATTTCTATAGCTATGCTTATTTCTGGTCTTCAATACGTAAAGGATCAGGTAGGTGATAACATTGCCAGTTCATGTGGAGTGTGGATTACACTGTTGCATGAGGAAAGCTGCGGTTGATCCCACTTTCACTGAGAGTAAGGCATCTTGTGCTCACTGCGGGGTTTTGCAAGGCATTTCTGTGGTTCATGATGCTCAGAGCATACATACTGGAGCTAAAGTATTCACAAGCCTGTACTGCAGAAAAGGGAGCAATGAGGCTGGGTTGGACCTAGTTCTTGAAAAGACTTGGAATCCTAAACCAGAAAGGGTTTTTCAGCCATGCTCCGGCTTTCCAGTAAAGCCATGCTTCTGCTGCTGAGCATCTAGTGAACGAGCAAAAACCACAGCAGGCAAATTCACAGTAAGCTGTGGGTTTGTAGGAGAAAAAAAAAAAAAAACACAACCAACAACCTTCTACAATTGTAAGCCTTGTTTCATTTCTGATATGATATTGAAGCATACAATGATGATAACATACACTAATACTTCATTCCTATCTGGTAATTAACAATACAAGTATTCTCAGGGTGCTCTCCAGTCTTTTATTTTGCATATGTATTTCTTCTGCTCCACATTTTTTCAGCTACATTGGCCTGAAAAAATCCCATTATTCAGAATGTGCATATTTCCCGAGGAGCAGTTTTAACTTGAATATAAGTTGCTTTCTTCCAGCTCCTCAAGAGCTGAGAATATATTCAGAATATCTGAGGCTAATATCCTGTAGTTTTCAAACAGACATTAGCATGATACAGAAAGCAGCGTCCAGCCTTATTTGAGCTATAACAATGATTCCATCATCTTGTGCACTGCAATAAATATGTATGTGTGGTGTATCTACATATGTACAGTGTATGTCCATACATACATGTCTTTGGTACTTAGCTTATATATGTCAGTTAAAATAATGTGTGTGACTAATTAGACTATACAGAAAGCATTGGGAAATTATAAAGGATGAATTAATTCTTACAGTTATTGCTCAGGTGCATCTACCTTTGCAGGGCAGTACCTGCTAAATAACATGGTGTCATACTGCAGAATTGCCTTTGATTTACAGCAGCAGCAATGTGCTGATTGACTCAAAGGAATCGAGACAGCAGGTCTGGCTCTGTCATGGGATTTAATGCATTGCTTTTAACTGTTTCTTTCTTGCTGCAAAGCAGCTCCATCACTCACTAGGCATCAGTAGGTTTTAAAAGGGCATTTCCCTCGCAGGTATAAGTCATGGGAAATTTAAATTCCTCCCTGCATGAAAAGCACAGGGTGAGGAGAGGCTGTTCGCAGGACTCATTGTCAGAGAATTTCTTTTAGGAAGCATTTAATTGCTAAACCTGTAGACTTCAGTGCTTCTTCTTCTAAGCCAACTAAGAGAAAATGCAATTTTTCCTGTCAACACCTTGAATAAGAAATGATGAAACAAGCGCTCGTGGCAGGTTAATTGTTCCTCGGGTATCTGCAAGCTCCGCACCGAGTGGGTGTGAATATTAACTCCGGCGAGTGGCAGGCTTACCGCGTGGGGAGGCCGTGCTAGCCAGACACACGCGGGCCCCAGAAGGCTCCCTACCCAGACAGCGTGCACACAGCAAGGTCAGCTCAACCTTCCCCAGCTGCCAGCTGAATCAGTAAATACGTCGCTACTGAGCTCGCGAGGCAGAGCAGCAACACAGCCTGCAGAGGCAGGAGGAGAGCAGGCTGGGGTAGGGGTAAAGGTGGTGCTCTTTAGGAAGCCCAGAGTGTGAGTGCTAGCTATAGAACCACAACACAGAAATGTTTAGTAGATGCTTCCATCTCCAACTTAAATTGTCTGGGGAGACAACCCCAGGATGCACCTAACCAGCTGTGATTTTTGCACTAGCACGTTATCATTGCTTTGCACCCTGTATCATATGGTTTTTACTTACACGTAAATTCCTGCTTTTCTGTGCTTCCGATGCTCTTTGCTGTCCCCAGGGCTGAATGCAGTCTGCTCTTGGGAATCCAGCTGGACATGAGGCAGACCTGCATCTGTCCCAAGGTGAAGTTTGGATTTTGCTCGTATTCCAAAACTTATTTCTGTGACCAGTATGTAAATGAAATATAAGTATGTGGGGCTTGAATCCATCTTAAACAACCTGCTGAGATGTCCTACTAGAGATGCTCCCACCTGAGACCATTACATGAAGAATTCTAGACCAATTAATCACGTCTCCGGATTTAATTTTTGCTTTCAGCTGGATTTAGTCACAGTGGCCTAAGCCCCACTCCCTTCTGTGGATGAGGGGAGGTAACGATGTCTCAGAAATCAACCAAAGAGTTAATCTGCCAAGGTTTGGTTTGGTTTTGTTTGCAGTTCAATACTTGCTGCAAATAACAAAGCCCAGTGACCGAGAACCAGCCCCCAGGTTCGATATCTTGGTCCAGCTGCAGCCACCAGAGGGCCTGGGGGCTTGGCAGGGGGGGCAGCCCTGGGACCCCCCTGCCCTGCAGTGAATTTCCAGGTTGTGCTCCACAAGGAGCTGGCAGAGCGGGTGTGTGAGTGTGACAGCACCTCCTGCAAAGCACCGGGCTTGTTCCTTTGCAGGTGTTTTCTTTTTCCTTTTCCTCCTGTGCTATTTTTACTGCGGTTTGAACCAGTGTTTAATTTGCCTCTTTTCACTTGGTGCCTCTAATAACATTTCTCTCTCATCTCACTGCTTTGCCTGATCATTTTTCCTCCTCTTTTGTTAGATGTCTGGCTTCTCATGTTCTCCTTTCTTCCCCCCCTGTGTATTCAGCCTTGCACACTCCTCCCCACATACGTTTTCATGCATTGTTTGTATCACAGCATGTTTGCTGGGTGTCTGAAGAGGCAAAGGGAAGATCCCGATCCAGCTCAGATGCAGGGAACCAGAGAGCCCTTTCCATGAGTGGGGCAGATCAGGAGACTGATCTCTGCTGGAGAACGCCAGCTCACACAGCCCATCGGTTCTGAGCAGGCAGCGGACGGAGACTGCTCCTTCTGATGTAAAATTTGCCCTGGAACCGCGACCCTGTTCTCCTGTCTCTGAGTGAGGGGTTTGTGCAAGACCATGCAGCAGCTTCATGGCCACACCAGAGTCTGGATCCAGGTCACCAAATGCACAGGACCACAGTTTTCCTTTCAATCAAGCTGTTGCAGGTGGTCTTTTACCTTATTCCTGAGTTCCAGCCTACCTTCTCACCCAGCTTTTTTTGCTGGGGCATCTCACAAAGTGTAGCACGGTCCCCGCGTGAGAGTTGGAGTTAATGAAGTCTGACTTCCTCTGGGCTTGTTTGCCGTGGTTAGCTGACTGTGATCTCTAAGAACAAAAGGCTTTTTGTGTTGTCAGAGCTTCATGTGGCTCTCTCTGTCCCTTCTGTGACATCTCTGCAGTCTGTCCCCTGTTTGAAGGGCTTTTGTGGTCTCCTGTACTCAGATACCTGATCTCAGAAAACCGATAGGAACTCCCTTACCTCCTGTCCTCACCCACTCCAACAGACTGCTGAAAGGAGGCTTCAGCAAAAACCTACAGCACTGCAGCATGACTGTAAAAGCCACATTTTCATCAGAAACAGGGCAGCTAGGCTTTCCACAAATCTATTTTTTCTGCCTTTCAGCTCTGCAGCACCAATTGGGCTGAAGAAGTTCTCCCCACCCTTTCGCGGGCCCTTCGGCTACACGTGCGTGGCTTCACCTGCGGCAGCTCCCAGGACAGGCTGGCTCAGCTCCTGCGAGCAGAGGACAGCAGTTCCTTCAGACAGGCACATGGTGGTGAGTCTGGGGGATCATCCTCTGCCAGGTTCCTGGCCAAGGGCTGCCCCATTTCTCTGGAGCTCCTACCAGCCTGGTGGGTGGCTGTGAGGCTCCAAACTGAGAGGAAGGGGGAGGGAAGGAGGCAGGGTATAAATAAGGATGTTGCTGCATGACTCTACCTACATCTGGGATTTAAGCTCCCATCTAGCCAGCTCACTCATACATGCATGTATTTTGGGTTTTCGAAGAGTGGGAGTAGTCTGGTCAAATTTTCCTTTTGCATTTTCAATTTGCTTCTCTCCACCCCCACCAAATGTCTCTCTCTAGCAGGAAAAGACCAGGAGAGCAGAGTGCCTGGCAAAGATCTGCCAGATACACAACCACCTGCAGATAAAAAACAATAAATCAAAGGCCTGATTAGTTATCCCTGTATTGCTCAGCAGTGCTGAGAGCCTATCCTAGAAGAAACCATTTACATTCTCAGGCCCAAATCCTGCCAGGCCCACCCTGAGGGAGCTTTCCTTGCCCTTCTTGGTGGTGTTGGGTCAGCCCTCAGTGCCCTGTGCATGGTCAGCACGGGATGGTGCAGGACAAGTCCCAGGCCACCACGGCCACATGCCCTGCAGGAACCAGGCCTTCTGCTGGGGGATGGGGTCAATGCGGTCCCATCATCTGCAGGACAGAGCTGGCTCCTGCCTTCATGGGTAGGGAGGCCAGGTCTGAGCCACCGAATTCAGAGCTGGAGCAGACACGGTAGTTTTCCAGATGGCTCTGTGCAAATGTTGTGGGATGTTTTTGGGTTTTGTTTTGTGTGGTTTTTTTTGTTTTTTTTTTTTTTTTTTTTTTCCTGTGATAGTTTTGCAGATTTGTAAATGATGCTTGGGGTTTTGGAACAGAAATTAAAATCAGATTTGGAAAAATAATGAGGAGTTGGGGCAACCTCAATACTTCATCTTTGATTTTGACTTTCTAACGTTTTGTTTACTTCTTGAAAAGGCAAGGGTAAAGTGTTTCTCATGCACAGAAAGGAAGAAATGTCTTCCATCTTCCCTTTCCCAGAAAAGGCCTAAACTAGAAGAAAAGAAATATCTAAACAAACAAACAAACAAAAACAACTGGCTGGTGAGAGCAATAACTGATGGCTGAAGTGGGTATCAGGGATGCGCTGTTTGTATATCTATTAGATCATGAGCCAAAGCAAAGAGTCAGACTGAAAGACATCCAATTAGTTAACAACCTCTCCATTTAAGTACATTGCAAAGAGTCAAATAATGGCAGGAAGAAGCTGGGCTCGCAGCCGCTTCTGCCCCAAAATATCGTTGTTCATCCTCATAGCCTGGCCAGAGGCCAGCTGCTTTTGGGCTTTTAGCCACAGGGTGCATTTAAAAACCATTCTGTTCTCCTGTTTTCTTGTCACTCAGGGTGAAATCGTTGTAAATAACTATTTTCAAGTGTGTCCATGTCAAAACAGAGCATGGTAGTGGTTTTTTTCTGGCGTTGGTTGGAGCAGGGAGCAAAGAGGAAGAGCAGCTCCAGAGCAGAGCACTCGAGCCTCTCCAGGATCTCCTGTGAGCATCTGCTCCATCCTGCAGGTGGTTTTCCTGCTAGGACTAGGACCAGCAAGCACAGGGGGCTGTTTGGTGTCTGCTCTTACACTGATTGACATCTGGCCAGTGCTTTTCATCAATGGTGTCAGTTCGTCAGAGTCTTCTCTGGGATGGATGAAACCCCAAGGAAAAGGAAAACTGTGAGTGGAAATATCCAGATGAAGCAGGAGGAAAATCTTCAAGGAAAACCTTTGCCTGAGGGTGTTTGCTTGTTATTTTTCCCATGGATCTAGGGATGGCACTTGTGAGCATCCCAACTAACCTGACAGCTGTAGAACACATGACCTGTCAAGCCCTCTTTTATTTCTCTTAAAGTACCTCTGTAAGAAAATTATTTTATATATATGTATATTTCAATTGTATTTAGGGAGTACAGAACAGGCTTGTTTTGTTTTGCTTTGTTTGAAAACCTTTTTATATTTCCTATAAATCTGGATATTTTTCCTTGAAAATAAGTGAAGAAGGAAAGCAGTAGAAAGCCAGTTTTGGTTAAATCCCAAACGTCTCAGCTGTTGCATTCATGTCTTTTGCCTTGCTCTCTGAAAAGCCTTCTCCATCCTGCAGGGCTCTTTTGTTTCACTTGGTTCGTGGGGACATGGGGCAAGGTGCTGGTGGTCATTGCTAAATCACAGCAACTCTGGAAGCCGTCACACTGCTCCCCACTAGCTCTTGCTCCCACTTGCCAACATTTGCTTGGTGCCTCGGGGGAGCTGGTACTGCCACATCCACCGCTGTACTTGGTCAGGGAGGAAAAGAGCTACCAGCTCCCTTTCCCTGTGTTTGCTGAGCTAGGGATTGAGGCCCACTCACAAAGCATACCCGGTGCAGCCAGAGCCACCGATTTCATTCCCGGTCTCTCCAGTAGTTACAGGACCCGCTGCTGCCCTCCCCAGAAGTGCAGAAGCAATTCCAGGAGGATTTCTACCCTCTCATATGTGAGCTGCGGGCTGGTTCGCTCATTTCTCAGTACTCATATAAATATATATATATATATATATATTTATAGCACGTCTCTGCCTCTGAATGCATGCGCTCATACGCATGCACTCGCACAAACTGTAGGTGGCACTTTGAGAATTAGCAAAGATGCTGCTGGGGCCTGCGTCGGGGCACGGCTCTTTGGACACCGAGCCAGGGGGAAGGAGGAACAAAAAATGGATCAGTTACTAGTGAGGCTGGCAGAGAGGGAGCAGAGGCTTCCTGGAAAAAAATCCCCCTCATTCCTCACGTTCAGTTCGCAGGGACTGCGGCACTCAGCTGCTGGCAGCCCCTTTGGGAGAGATGTGCAGATACCCTGTGCTTTTCTTTACAGTATGTCTCACTTATCTGCCTCAGAGGAGGAGGGCTGCTGTACTTATCGCCCCAGGAGCTCAGCTGGACATGAATGCTAACTGACCAGAGGAGAAGCAGCTTGCTCCAAAGGTTTTATCGTGTGTGGAGCGAGCGAGTGCCAGACACAGATTATGTGTTTGCAGAGCTCCCAGCCCTCGCCTGCTTGAATTGTCGGGAGAGAAATTCAAACCCTACAGTGATCAATCTGCTGTCTGTCAGCATTTGGGAACCAAAGGGCAACCCCGGATCAATCTGTTCTTGGAGGCCTGTCCTCATTTCAGAGATTACCTCGTGTTTGCTGTGGCGCGTTAACCCCTGAGGTGCTGGGTGAGAGATCCATGGGCTCACGTGGGTACCACCTTTGCATGATGTCTTGCACAAATTTTGCCCCAAATTTCTCTGACTGTATGCTTAATGCTGCTCTGTGTGAGAGGGAGATTGGCCTCTTCAGCTGCGTGCCATAGCTCTCAGCATGCAGAGAGGCTTTCCTTTTCATTCTGGGCAATTTGTACCTAGATTTTAGGAGATTATTCTGCACTTGTAAGGCTCTCAGCGGAAGGTACATCTCCAGGTGCAGTACTAGAGGATGGTAATGGAGAAGAGTTTGCTGTGGTCAACATAAACTGTGAGAAGCCAAGAAATATTTCTCAGCCTGCTGAAAAGGTGTGGCAGGAAAACTTGCAAAGTTTCTGGCCTTTGCAGCATCTGGGAGAAGATTTCCATTCCTCTTCCCCACTCGGTGGTGGGCTCCTGCGAGCTCCTTTGTGCACTGACTGCAGCAGGCCTGGGTGGGGCAGGGTGGGCAGAGGGACTTTATGCCTAGAGCTATAGCCAGCACTACACAGTTATGCCCACCTGGAGCTGGTGGGTTCTCTGCTTGAGGAAATAACCCGAGAGTGTGTATAATGTGAGGTCTTCTCTACAGACTTTTAATTCTTTTCCCTTCATCTTGTTTTAAATTGATGCCTTCAAGGCGCCGCCGTATTAATCTTTGTGTTTAAAGTAGAAGACTGTATCTTGCCTGTGTCAGTATAAGGGAATTAATTTGCAGGGCTATCCAGGGCTTTGTGTGAGCACAGTGCCAGGTAAATCTGCATTCATAATCTGAGGTGTCCTGGGGGATGTTTCTCTAAGAATGCTGTGTATCAAAAAGGTACCAAGACTGATGCACTCCCAGAATCATAACTTCTTCCCAGCCCATCCTATCAATACTTCTCTGAAGTTTTTTAATGATTTTAAAAAAAGCAGCCGTGTAAAATCTACATCTCTGCTTCTTTTTTCTTCCCTCCTCTCTCCCCACCAAACTCCCTTGAGTATGACATCATCTGAAGCACTGCTCATTTAGGATCTTCCGCTTTCAGTGCCAGATTACAATGGAGCCAGCAAAGCATGCTTTGTTAGCTTTGATTATGTTCTGCACAGTGCAGGGTGCAGCACAACAGCTGGAATAATTGAGATAATCTCTCAGCTCACGTGGCGGGGGAAAGTGATGCAAAAGCAGGGGAAATGAGGAAGCAGAACTGGAGGTACAGGAGCAAGAGCATGGCAGTGCCAGGGTGTTTCAGCAGCTGGGAGATTTCAGCAGCTCTTTGGGAGTGCTTGCACCAAGAGGATTTGAACTGGTTGTTTCTGGAGGCTTGTGGAAGTTCCATTTTTGTGAAACTGCATTTGTTTGAGGCTCATTTCCTAAAATACAAGATGGGATCGATGTTTCTGGCTCTCCCTAGAGGTTGTTTGTGATGCCCCATCCACTGCAGCATGAATGTACCGGTGGCTTTCATGCTGAAGATTCCTGAGGTGCTTTGAAAAAAATCTGTCCCAAAGTTTGTTCGTAAAGACAATCAAGGGTCACAGTGACAACAGCTCTGAGCAGCTACTTGAAGCTGGCAGAGGACACTACGTCTCTCAGAAGCAGTGTGAGACCTGCCTGTGCACACTGGGACCTGCTCCCCTGGGAGAAATCTGCAGGAGTAGCTTTCTTGACTGTACTGCTTTATCTTAATCAAAACCATTTAGCTGAGTTGGGAAGAAGTTGAATCCTGCCCAGACTCACTCAGCTTTAGTTGTAAATGCTGTCTGTGCAACCAGCCAGGGCACGGTGGATCTACCCTTAGTGTAGGCTTGTGTATTCGGCTGCCCCTCAAATCTGCCAGGACAGAATATCCGTGAGGCCAGTTTGAGATTTTTGGGACAGAAGGAAGTTATGATCTCATATCTGTAGTGGTTACACAGTTTTGGAAATGAGTGGCAATGCATATACTTCAGGACTCTCAGGACTCTCTCAGCAAGATGTTACCCTGACATTTGCTTCCATCTGTCCTGGCAATCAGGATTTTGTGAAAGGCCACTAGCCCACTTGCAGCAGCTACCCTCTGTTTCCAGCATCAGTCACCAGCCACTTGAGCAGAGATAAGATCTGCCTTTTTGCCTTCCTCTTCCATCACTCTGCTGTCTTTCCCTTTGCTACAGAGACATCTCTGTTCTGCAGGTGGCTGCAGCTCCAAATGAGTCTCAGGTAACACTTAAGAGTCAGTCACAGATTTCTAAAGGAAAAATAACAGCCTGATAGGAAAGCCAAGAAGCCTGTTTTGGATGCTACATGTGCACAACTATGTATTACAAAAAGCCTAACATGCCATGGTAAACTTTACTTAACAGACTACTTAATCTCTACAAATGTTAACCTCCAGGTTTTTATTTACTGAGCTCGTGGTTTATGATGCCATTGTCTAATTGAAATGTGTTCGTTCCCTCTCCTAGTGCCACCGCTAAGCATTTTACTGATATATGGCATGAGAACTGGATGGGATTTGTTTTCTTTCAGAATAAACTTGGGAGACAGATGGTGTTCAGGCGGTACAGATGTGACAGCTTCCATTGCCTTTTTAATGGAGCTTTTCTTGCCAGCTAAGCACTTTTGTTTTCAAATGAAAAAAAAATGTCATTTTTCACTGGCACTGTAGAAAAACAAGCAGCAGTACAGGAGGAAGAAGATTTAGATTTGTACATCCTCAGCAAAGAGGGTGTTTGCATCCAAACCCAGACCTGGAGGTGGCCTGAGCCCGTTTTTCGGCATCCCTCAAACTCAGGCTGTTGCACGTAGAACAGCAGCGAGGAGAGTCCTTATCCTTCCTTCTCCCTGCTGCTGCACTGCGTGCCTGGAGCTTTGCAAAGAGACCGGTGGCTTGTTCTTTCGGTACAGGTAGGTAAGCTGAGGCTCAGAGAAGGGCTCTGAGCTGCACAGCACCACGAAGCAGAGGGAGGGCTGAGAGCAGGGCCCAGCTCGCCTTGCTCTGGGGCCGAATTGCTCCCCTTGGGGTTGGCAAGGGCGGGCAGGCTGGGAGCAGGTTATCAGAGCCAGCTGACATTTAATGCAGCATCTGAACCTGTGTAGGTTGGGAAGGCTCAGAACAACAGATTTACTAGCAATGTGCATTTTTTGTTTGTTTTATTTGTTAGCTTTCCCCTTGTACAGCTCAGGAGCTTGACCCAACAAAGGAAGTGCTATTTCATTCAATTTCGGTAAGGTGCTGTTATTTACCATGGGGAGACCCAGCACTGCTGCTTTGCTCAGGTTATCCCAAAGGTGAAGAGCCCAGTAGAAGTGTAGGTAACTCCTTCCCAGAGCATCTTACAGGCTGTCTCACTGTGACGTTGCTGCACGCCTCAGCCAAGGCTGTTCCAGGGGCTGTCGTCTCCAGCAGTCCTCAGCTCTTTGCTTCTACTGTGGGTGCCCTCCCCTGCTAGCTAGTTGCTGGCCACTTGCACCAAAAGCCCTGGAAAACAGTGATAAGGGAGGCCGGGGCTGGCTCGAGCCCATCTCTTAGAAGCTGTTCACCTTCCCTACGCCAGTGCTATCAGCAGTGTAAGCTGGAGAAAGGAATCAAAGGTGCCCTGAAACCCACAGTATTCGTGCCAATTGGGCTGGAGTTTCAGTCTGGAACAAAGACTGGAGCTCTCTGAAATGCTGCAAAAGGGGAAATTTTAGCCACAAGCCTCTTTCATTTTTGAATAAAAAGGTGTTTTTTTGTTGTTGGTTGGTTGGGGTTTGTTTGCTTGCTTGCTTGCTTGCTTTTTTTTTTTTTTTTTTTTTTTTTAATCAGAACCAGACTTGCTCCTAGCTCTGAGGCCAGGCTGGCAGCACAAGCACACTTGAAGCCGTGTCCCTGGTGCACCCAGAGTGGAGCAGAGCACAGCTGGCAGCCTGGCACAGCACTGCTACGAAGCTCAGGCCATTTATTTGCTGCCAGGAAGGCCGAGCAGGCTGTCAGCAGGCTGCCGTCATGCATCACTCCCTGCAGACTGCCTGTGGACACATTGCAGGGGGGACCTGGGGGTCCATGGTGGCCCTGGCTGCCTCTGGGCTGGTTGGTTACAAACACTGCTAGAAATACTCCAAGCAGCCATCTGTGCTGAGATGACCTTGTCTCTGTGCACCCGTTGTAGCTGCATGGCTTTAATATGCTTGTGTCCATGGGTTGTTGTTGATTTTCATGTCTGACAGCAGCCAGCAGAGGAAGAAAAGCCTGGTTTGGTTCAATGCAAAAGCCAACGTAGTGCCTTGGGTCTCTCGTTGATCTGGTGGTGGTTAGAAATCTCCCACAGCCCCCTGATCTGTTCTGCCTGGGGTGAGGGCAGCAGGTGCTGGGGACATGGTTTGACACCACGGATGAGGTGACCAACGGGCTGCCCACAGCCACAGGCCTGCTGCCAGGTTCTTCCTCACTGCTGGACAAGAGCTCCTGTGCCATCCCATCTGCCAGTGCCTGCTCTTGACTGCCTCTGGGGTGAGTTTGGTCAGGAACTACACCAGCAAGTCATTTTCTTCTGGGTTAGTGCTTTCGACTGACCCCAAAGAGGGGCAGGTGAACGGCACGGTGAGCACGAGGGGCAGCCCCAGCTCTGGCAGTAGGTAATGGCTGCACCGGCCTAGCTGGGCCCAAGACACAGAGCTGGCTGCTTTTCTGGTCTGGCACCAAACCTGACGTCAAACCCGCTGATAGCTGGTACAAAGCATGGCATGAATTCACTTTTCGGTTTCAAAGGAGATGATCTGTCTGCAGAGAACCAGAGGGGCTTTGTGTGTGGCTCCTCCTCACGGTGCGCTCTCTTGCAAATCACCCTGCTGCTCTGTGGCCGCGGTCTCGATTCATCCAGCTCCCAACACATTTTGCTGTTTATCAGTTTAATTGCAAGGGGCCTGCTGCCGTGCTATCTGACTGCAGTGTGCCCATTTAAGTGGCTGTAACCCTGGAAGTCAGTGCCTGTATCTCAGGTCCAAATCCCTCTGCCTCGTGCAGGCGTGCTGTGTCCAACTAGATAAGTGGGTAAATGCTGAAAATTTAGCAATTTAGCACATGTGCAAAGCTGCCAACTGGAAGGAATCCTCAGAGTGGTAAGATGAAATGTTCTGAGTTACAGAACAAAATGTCTGTGCTGGGGTACCCAACTACATGTATTTAATACACTAGTACTGAGGTTCAGTGGAAAACCGGAATGAAAGCTGTTTAAACAAATCCTTGCTTCATGTAACGTTGTTGTAGTCCAAGTCATTGCTCAGTGTATCATGAAAGACAACATTACACAGCGTTTGTTCAATACCAATTCCTTGTCTGTTTCAACTAATAGCAAGCATTTAAAAAAAAAAAAAAAAAGAAAAAAAAAGTTTGCTTATACATTAGGGAAAATGAAGTTAACAGACATCAGAATTCTGTCTTCGGGAGTTTGCTGCAAGGCAGACACGGGTATAGCAAAAATGATTAGCGCTGAATACTGATAATTTATCTACTGGGATAGTAGCATCGTTAGAGATGTCAACATTTTATTTTATCTGTACTGGTAGGATTTTTGGAAGAGTTTCCATGTTTCCAGCAGTGAGTCTGTGAGTTTCTGACGAGGCTGGGAGAAGCACAGGGACCCTATGCTGCAGCAGACAGGAGGGCTCACATCGGGGTTCGGAGCCAAGTGGTCCCATGGTCCTCATTTGGGAAGTGTTCATCCAGAAAGTCCGTGTTGGATGGCATTCCTATGGGAATACCAATTCAGTGTCTGGGTTGCATCGTGTGGGGATGGTTGTGAAGGTCACTTTGGCACTGACTGTGCCCTCCTGTTTATCTGACTTACTAATACAGCAATCAGTGGGTCTGCTCCAAAGCCCCGTGAAAGTGAAGAACGGGTCCCTTGCTGAGGAGACCATCGTGGAGCTCACTGTGGAGCTCCTGCCACTCAAGCAATCTCCTGCTAGCAGGGAGTCGTGCTGCATCCCAAAGCAACTAAGTGTACATGCGCTTAACGAACTCAAGTTCAGCTCCTTTCACCGACCAAAATAAATTGTTTCCATGCCTGCCCAGATTGTAAATTAGTAGAACAAACAGTCATTTAAAATGAATGATTTCAAGTCAGAGGAATACAAATCAGAGACTGTATTTCTTCTCACTGGAGGAATACTGTTGCACCAAAAATATTACTTAGATTTTCAATCTTCCGTAGACCAGACAAAGGATCTTCATTATCAAGCAATCAACAGACAATAAAACCAGCTCTGACTCCACATCTGACGTGGCCTGGCTTTGACAGATCATTCCCTTTGGTGCCTTTACACGTAGCAAGTGTTGCCAGCTGCCAGGGCTCACATCTTTATTTGGCTTGTGTGGATCTGGAAGCAGAAAGGTCTCACCTCAGGATTCACTAATTCTGTTAGGCTGCAGCTCCATCTTTTCTGCCATCCTCACCAGTATTGCTTTCCTCCTGTTCCTGCATGAAGGGGGTTAGTGGGTGAGCCTGGGTCACGGCTCTGCTGGGGAGGCGTGGGTCCAGGAAGGACAGCTGTGTGGACCATGTCATAAAAAAGTTTCCCTGGGACTGGTTTAAATGTGTGATGAACCCGTTATTCAAAAGTGAGCTCCTCATTTGATGCAGACTGCTGGAAGCACGAGCACCAAAGTCCAGTTGTGCAAAATACCACACAGCCTGAACTGCAAATGCTTCGGGCCTGATTCGGGCTTCTGCAAAGTCACCAGGACTCTCTCACTGCCTCCAGTGGGGTTTCGATGCGATCCTTACTGAATAAACAATCAGGAAGTAAACACATATAGAATCTGATTACCTGGTCTCCAGCCTCTTGATGAACTCACTGCTGCATCATGTAAATACAACTTTGGCACATCAAATTCCAGCAAAATGCAGCAGCCCTTCCATCACCCCGCTGCGCACCTCTGGCCAAGCTCATCTGTGACTTCTGGTCATACATCACAAGGGTCTGCTACACAGGTGGCAGGGCTATGGTTTACATCTGTCCTTTCTGCCCTAAATAATCAGTGGTGAGATCTGCTTTACATCAACTTTAAACAGCTGCAAGTGCCTGCACTGGGTGGCAAATCCGCCCCACAAGCCCTCAGCCTTTCTGTGACCCACCACAGCTCCAGGATTGCCAAGATGCTGCCCTGAGATGATCCGAAAGCTCTCTCTTATTTTAACAACACGGCTGTTTGTTATTCTGTCCGGGAGCAGTAAAGCCATCAATCGTCCAGAAGGAGACCATTTTAAAGCACACTAAACAGCAAATAATTCTCTGCCTGGGATATTAAAATATCACAAACCACAAATTTCCCCGTGTTATTGCCTTGTAGCTGACATCTGTGTGTGTTAGCACTGGGGGACCACAAACCGAGGAGCAGCTTGATCTATAGACTGTAGGAGGTCTATGGACTGAGGAGGTGATGTGCTCACACTACGGTAAAAGGCGGTGCACGAGAGAACCTTGTGCAGCCTGCTCCCAGGCTTTGCATTGCTTTTGCAGCCCCTTCCTCTCCAATACATCGACTTATAATCGCTGCTGTGTTTGAATGGCGTGTCCGTGGGGTAGGTACTGTTGGACATGTCAGGTAGAGGCTTGGCCAGCATGTCTGGCACAGACCTCTTTGTGAAGGAGAGGGGGTCTGCATCAATTGCTGCCTCGTTTTTCAGCCCATCTGCTCTTTTGGACCTGGGAATTATTGTCCTAATGACATGCTTGCAGTACGTCTTTGCCCTCAGCTACTCAAAAACATTTTTTATGTTGCTGACCTAGTCAGGGTCTAAGTTATCTTCACATGCTCCTGCAGGGTCAGATCCATCCAGACTTCACATGTCCTGGTACAAGGAGTATTACTGGGGAGAATAAGAAGGGCACGAGGCTATAGTCATGCATAGACTGACATGCTCGCTCTCCAAAATAAAGTTATGCTTATGGTCTGCTTGTCCTTCCCAGCCCTGTTAGATAAACACTGTTAGATAAAATTCAGCAGATGTGGAAAAGAGGAGCTTCTCCTAAGTTAAAATCAAGAATGAGGGGCATCATCTGGCATTAAGGGAGAGGTTTTGGAAGTGAAGGAGGACAAAGTCCTGTACTGCCCTTTGGAAAGATGCTGTATATGGCTTTGGGTGACACAGGAGAATTGTCACACAGCAAATACAAGGTCTGGATTTTAACACCGAGAGACTTTATGTTATTTCCTGTGATCCTTTGACATTGTGCAGTCATTTTGTAGCTCTGAAAATGATGGTCAAGATTTGACAAAAGGTATAGCTCATCAGTATGTGCAGAAGCATCTGCAAAATCCAGATGGGAAAATGACCTTGGCTCCTGCAGTTAAAGAGAAAATGAGGCTTGGGCAAGATTAATTCCCAGGGTTGCACACTGATTTCATTGGAGATGCCCTGAGGGTGAGCTTGATTCTGAATCCCTGAGAGTTTCCAAAACAAAGTAAAATCGAGGTGGGTGGCAGTATGGAACTGATGTGGGGTTTTGTTCTCTTGTTGTTTTTTTTTTGTTTGTTTGTTCTTGCCAATTGTTTTAGTACAAGCTACCATGGTTTACAACTTATTACTGCAGATTTGCAGTAGCAGACCACTGTCTGACAAAGAAAAAGTAAGCCTTCACCTTAAACAAGCTCATGCTGCCTTTGGAAAGGTTTCACTTCATTGATGAGCCTGTCTTTCCATTCCAAGTTGCTCCAGCTTTGACTCTCCGGAGTGCATCCATTCTGCCTCTTTGAAGCCACCGCCTGCTGATGTGTTTGCAGAAGTTTCTCCCAGGGAATGTATTTCTGAACAAAAAAATGGTTTTATTGAATTAATAATAGATGGGCTTAAGCTGCAACAGTTGAAGCTCGATTTCTATATGGATGTGGACTCCAAACTTTGTGCAAGTCTAGAGCGAGGTTATCGTGATCCTTGACAGTCAGATATATCCCATTCTTAATCTCTGTGATGTTTGAAATGCCATCGCTTTATAAGAGTCCTGTTCCATCAGCTGAACTAGTGCAGTGTGTGTATTTGGAGATTAAAGAAAAAAGAGGCAGGGAATTTTAAAGTTGGCTTCTGTTCTATGGGGGAAAGATGCAGAAAGAGAATCTGAAGACAGAGAACTTGAACTTAAGCCTCTTCCATGGCAAATTTGTGTCTCTGAGCCTGCGTGGTTAGCTCTGGTGCCACACAGTGACTGTACGGTGTGAATTCAGATTTATGTCCTACACTGCAGCCCAGTGACCCTGCTGGGAGAATCTCCCAAACCTTGCTAGTGAAGGGCAAGCCTTGCAGTGCCCTGAGTGCGACCTTGTGAAAGTTCATTACAAAACTGCGTGAAAACCACCCTTCTGAAGCTCAGAGGAAAACTTCTGTAGATTTATGGCTGAGATGGGAATTACTTGTGTAGCCATTTATTGGTGAGACAGTGAGTGGTTCCTGCATCCATGCCAGAAATCAATGTCTTCCCAGGGGGTTGCTCCCTATTGCTTCTGCTGTCTGTTCTGTCTGATGTGCAGGGAGCACAGCAAATAGCGGAAATTAAACATGAAGATAACACAGAGTGAAACACACCTCTTTTTGATCTTCAAATTGCACTGGCTTGTCTCTTTGTTGAACGGAGAATTTTGCAGAATTATTTCATTTGCCAGCTTGTGCAGTAAGTTGGAAAGCAGAATTAATAAGAAGGAGTGTCAGCATCTGAGCTGGTAAGTGACCTCTGTGAGGCACAGTCAAAGTGGAAGCTCTTTGCCTTTCCAGGGTCCTGTTATCACGGTTATCATATCCTGTTATCATATCACAGCAGACTGCTTCATAAGCCAAAACCTTGTCATCCTTTCCTTGTCCCAGCCCTGCAGCAGGGCTGCTTGCCAGCGGGTGGAGACCTCGTGCACCATGAGCACCGAGCAGGGACACCAGCACAGGGGTGCCAACATCTCAGTGTCATGGAGTTTGGGGTGCTGGCTGTGGGGTCTGCACAAACCAGGGCCCTTGGGATCCCACTGCTGCCCATGCAGGAACTACTCTGCCCCGTCTGGACGAGGGTGTCCTGAGGACACAGCAAGCACGAGCTTCCAGGAATCCGACCCCTGAGAAAGCAAAGCAGCACTGCATTTACCAGCCAAGCCAGGAGGAGCTGGGTGAGACTTAAATGTCACCAAACTCCCAGGTTAGGGACTGGCACTAAGATGGAGTCGCTGATGGCTTTCCTCCTTGCAATTGGTCTCAGAGCTAAAGAAATTAAATTCACCCAAGTATATATAGAAGACATCACCTGACCTGCTTTGACCTTCACAATGCCATTTAGTTGGGCTGCCTGGCCAACAGATTCTTCTTCCTCTGTGCTGCTCCTTCGTCTTTGTATCAAGCAATGGGCACGAGGGGCAGTCAGCAGCTCCCTAAGATGCAGCTTAACACACGAGGTTAGCACAGCAGAAGCACGCTGCTTTCTTCTACCGGCTCTGCTCAGTATTTAAACTGAGATATTTAGTTCCCATGGGGAAAATTGTACGAGAATAGAAAAAGGCACAGCATGTAGCTATTATTGGGGCAGTGATTGTAATGAGCATGGAAAATGGAACAATATATAACCCATTCTTAATAGACTCTTGGGAGGGTTATCCTCTGCTTCTCCTCAGATTCCATAACCACATACTTTTTATTTTTTTAATTGGTAATGCATTTTTTTTTCCCCTCTGGAGAGCTCAGATCCATTTGTATTGCTCAGTAAACATTAATGGCATTTCCCAAAGATGAATTATCTCCGTGCCTGCACCAGAGCACAGTGTAAACGAAACAACCTATATATCTTCCCTCTTTCAAAGCAGCTGCTTCACTGGAGTTCCTGCCCTTTCCAGAAGGCTCAGAAAGGTCAAATCCTCCAACTGCCTCGGGTGGGGATGCTCTGGAGCTTGTGCGAGCTCCTTACGACATCGTAGTGATCCCCGACATTTGCACTGGTGAGATGAGCCCTGGAGCCATGATGACCAAGACCTCTTTTGCCCAAAGTCCAAGAGGGCAGCAGGCTGGGGAGGCATCCAGCTTTGAGTGCATGCAGCAGTTAGTTATCCAAGTATCATGAACTGAAATGCTCTGTGAGGAATTGGTGCTTACTCAGCTTTAACTTGGTGCTCACGATGGTTTGAGCAGATTTGGGATGCTCATATGCTCAAACACAATGCTGAAAATGTATCAGCTGGTTTATGGACTTTCATTGTCCTTAGTCAGGGTGTCCAAGAAGACCATCACAAGATTTTCTGGTGCCACGATAACGCTTCAGCAGTAGAAGTAGAGCAGTCAAGGCTTACTCCATGCTGCTGAGGAGGAGGTAGGCTTTGCTGCCTTTTACTCCATGGAAACAGCCTTCAATCAGCCTGAAGGCTGAAGCATTGGCTGTGGGAGAGGGAAGACGTGAATGCCATGGAAACCATTCTGCTTCACTGAGGCAGTGCCGTGGTGCTTCTTCTGATTTTACTCATAGGTGCTTGCAGGGGGTCATCCCATAGCAGCAACTGAACACCTAGTTCCAGTTTGGGGAGAGGAACTTGGCCCTGCAGACACAACTTTTCTCATTGTCTTTGTTTTTCTTGATGGAACTTAACATGCAAACATTTAGGACTGGGCCTACGCCAAAGTTGCTGGAGCTCTAGTGTTGGCCATATTTTGTGACTAAGGCCTCCCTCATTGCTGGAGTCCAGCATTAAAACTAATGTATTTCAGTTTGTGCCCGTTAGGAAAGCTTGGTTTTATTTGCTTAACTGAGGACAATTCAGAGCCTTCTCTTTTAGGAACTGTAGCTCTCGAAAAGACAGCTTTTTAATGTTTGCCACACGTCTGTGTTTCAGCTTTGCTGGCATGAAACCAGGCAAGATGGCACTTTTCGTTTCCTGCTCGCTGCAATCAGCCCGGGGAGCTTGCACTGCTCTCATGTCAGCTTTGCTGAGGGGACGTGGACATCACATCCTTCTGGGGAGTCCGCAGCCGTGGTGCACAACCGATGCACTTTAAGGCATAAAGGTGCAAAGTGAGGCCGGTGACAGCTTGAAGGATTGTGTGGGCTCTATCAGCCAGACCCTCTCTGAGCGCAGATTTAAAGGAATGGTGTTGACAGACAACGTTCGTAAGTTGCTTTGTTGAGTGTTAGCTTCACTTTACAGCACATCGTCATACGGCAGTGCTGACACTTGTGGCATGACTTGCTGGCACGTCTTTTGTGCTCGTAGCTTTTTCTGCATTTTTTTCCCCCCAGTAAATCCCTGATGGCACAAACTGGAGCTGTATTATCAAGTTTTGCTCTTGATGCATAAGTGAGAGCTTTTTTTTTTTTGTACAGCATGTGCTGGCAGAACAGTGCAGCTATCACAACTAAAAGACAGTCAAGGGTGGAACATAACGATTCCTTTAAATTAAATGTATTTCTGTGTGAGGAAGAGCTTTCTGCTGCTGGGCTTACAATGGCTGAATTCTTCCATTCATTCAAAAGTGTCTGTTACTTTGAGAGCAAAGGTTTGCTGCGGGCTTAGCA